TTTTTTTTTTCACACATGCAGCCAAGAAAAAAAAAAAAAGAAAACAAACAGACGTGTTTAAATTAACTGTTGTACAAAAAAAATGGTACCCAGCACAATGTTTTTTTTTTTATTTCTTTCTGAGTTAGAAACAGGAAACTTTTTAGGTTGCATTTTGACTCATTTTTGTAAGGATGTATGTTGTATGTTTAATTCTTTGATGACTAACATAAATAATGTGATGTGTGCGTATCAGAATTACGTATGCATGTTTATGTCAAATGGATGGCTGTTAAAATAATAAAAATCAGCTTTCATTTTTCTAAGTGTGGCCTGGTATGTAATTCTACTTCAAGTGGACTTAGATTCCCCGAAAAAATGAATATTTGCTGCTCACGGTTGTCCTGGCCAGAGAGGAAGTTGTACCTGAAAAACTGCAGTGCCAGGATTTCCCTGCTGCTGCTTAAAGGAGAACTACAGGGTCAGGGCTTTTCCTCAGGGTCACGGGAGGACACAAACTAGCGTCCTCCCGTCACCCAAAGCTCAGTAGCTCGCGGTATACTGAGATGCCGCAGCAGGGACGGATCCCGACATTACTGTCTGGATCCACCCAGCTGCGTGAGTGACAGCTGGCTTTGCCTATCTAGAGGCAGAGCCAGCTGTACCCGCCCCTCCCCCGTCCGTTCCGCCAGTCAGCACTGGAGGATCGGACAGAGGAGGGGGGAATCCTTGCAGGGAGCCGTGAGTGACAGTCACTGCTCTCTGCCGTGACAGGATCGAGAAGTGAGCGAGCGACGGTATGTGTTCGCTCACTTCCCGATCTATTGCGCCGACCTGTGACAGTTTCATTGTCACAGGTTGGCTAGAACTATGAGGATGAGTGATTTTCACTCGCCTCATAGTTCTCCTTTAATTTATAATGTGGACCTTGCCTGCTTCTTCTTGATCATTACCCCACCAGTCATTAGGGGGGAGCAAACCTCTTCCTCTACCAAGATGGCAGCCTCTATACAGAGACACAATGCATAACAGAGCATAGTAAGTCCGTAGTGGAAAAAAAGATCAACTGGATGGCTATACTGGTGACTAGTCCTTTGCCATGTGATTGCTTTTTTTTGGGGACAGCTTTCACAATTGTTCTTTAGGCCTCATTCACACAGCTTAGTCGGCCCGTACAGATCCGTGCGGCGTGCAAGGCCGTATGGGGCCGTTCCTGGGAAGGACAGGTGCTGTGTGCGATTGTATGTAGCAGCCTGTTCTTCCCTATGGGAGGACGCGGCCGTACACCCTCCCGAGCTGCTCATCCGTACGGCTGGAGGATCGGAGGGGGGGAATCCCTGCAGGGAGCCGTGAGTGACATTCACGGCTCTGCAGGGGGATGATCGAGAAGTGAGCGAGTGCCGGTATGTGTTCGCTCACTTCCCGATCTATTGAGCCGACGTGTGACAGTTTCATTGTCACAGGTCGGCTCGAACTATGAGGATCAGTGATTTTCACTCACCTCACAGTTCTCCTTTAAAGTAGAATTAAACTCTGTTATTTGTTTTTTTTTTTTTTGCATATATCTAATGATGGCAAGCAGTAGATATGTGCAAAAACAATTTGTAAAAAAGTTACCAAAAAGGTAAAAACTTTCCTCTGCCTCTGCCGTTCGCTCCCGCCTGAAGATTTAGTTTCTCGAGCGGCCGTGCAGGATGATGGGGCGGGCGCATGCGCAGTAGAGATCTTCGGCGGGGAGAAGAGGAGAGACACAGTGGAGGTGAATGCACGCCGCCGGGAGCGTGCGCGTCGGACAGACTCAGTGGGCCACAGAAGACACAGCAGTCAGCGCTGGATCAGAGACCGGCAATCCCACGAGATTTGGTATACTCAGCATTCCCAGAATCTCTCTGGAAGGATTGTAAGGTTACCCCAGCTTCTGCCCACAATGCCGAGGTTAATGTTTCAATCCTCATGGTGAGATCCTGGGAATAACTAGGATCCCAAATCTCATAAGAAACCAATTATCCTGCACTGCGCTGGAGCGTCATCCTGCAACATTTGGGATACTCGGTGTTCCCTGGATCTCTACATTTTTTGCCTTTTTTTTTTTAATGATATGAGGGAGACCCCATGTAATGAGCTGGCCTTGCAGGGTCTTTTTAAATGTCTCCTTTTGTCAGCAAGGGGTTAAATCGCACAACGCGGCATGAGATTAAAATCACCCGTGTAGTTTATTTGCCCCGATTCCTGTCACAAGGACACTTTTCATGTAAATGGCTTGAAGTCGATTTGCAGGACCTCTCCAGGCCCTACACATACCAAGCAGCATTATAGACACAGCATCCTATAAACCTGCAGTGCAGGAAGCCGCTGTCCCATATAAGTCCTCTCTATGTATGGTCACAGTAAGCAGCCAGTCACGCTATGTATCAGCAGGAATGTACAAGCAGCACTTGGCTCGGGGACAAGAGGCTCCTCGGTGCTCCAACAGCTGCACGGCACTGTGTAATGCTGGCTCTTCAACTCTGCTACCCCTCACCATGTCCTCCAGGCCCAAAGACAGGAATGTGTAAGAGATCGGGGCCCTCTGCCTTATTAGCTGGGGCCTCCAGAGCTGGAATCTGTCTTGCAACAAACACTTCCAACAGCTTCACCATCAGCCTCCATCAGCCACCTATGAGCAACCTTTGTGCACCTTTTTGCATTGTGTAACAGGAATAAAGTAGCTTCTAGGTAAAGGCGAGACGGTCAGGTTTTGCTCAACTTGTGACAATTTTTAATACATATAATAAATATTTTAAAGTGACACTATGCACAGGAGTTAAATCTTAAAAATATATTCTAGTACCCTAACTATTAACAGAAATGTATCTTATTTGTGTATCACTCGGCTGTAGATCCTCCAATCATCTCTGAATTGGTGCTGACACTGTCCTTCCTTCTGGAGGGGGGCTACTTCTGTTCCCCATGGTCCCTGTGTGTTGTAAAGTAGTCACCGCTCCAAGCTCGCTCCTGTGATAGACTACAATCTCAATACAAATGAGTAAACTAAACATGACCATTACCTCCTTTCATTATAAATCACATCAGCGTGCAGCTCTGCCTGCTGATATGAAATAATTTGACATTATTAGTTAAACATATTTATACTTATACTTACAATGATTGTTTTTCCACTTCCTGGTCCTCTTGGGAATTAGTGATGTAATCTGAGCCCAAGCGTTGCCTCCCGGGAAGGTTACAGCATCATAGCATTGCTGGGAGGTATCATCTGTAATCTCAGGAGATCCAGGAAGTAAAGGGAGATATATTAATCTGCCCTTAGTAAACATGGCCACTGGGAGAAGAATGGGGAGGAAAAGAAACACAAGAAACACAAGATATGCAAAGAATAAAAAGCCGGCAATGATCTATAAATATCTCTAGATTGTCATTACTAAACATCTCTAACACTGACTTTTTGTCATTTCAAAGACGGGGAAAGTTCCCCTTTAAGGTATTTGAATTTTTTTTAGGATTTAACTCCTGAGTTTGGTGTCACTTTAATATTTAGCTAGCGGGATCTTATTAGTCTCATAACGCAGGAAAGACAAGTGTGCGTAGCGTCAGATCTTATTGTGTTTTTTTACACTTTGCTGTTGCATTAAGGCGCATTGTGCCGCGAGTTACCATACTTTGTGTTATGGCAGATTATTCATTCTGAACGGGCTCCCAGCG